CTCCTCATCCATCGCCTTAAGCCAATGAGTTTCTGTAGCAGCCTCCTCAAAAGTTAAAGGATCACAATCTGCAAAGTGAGCAAATTGAACAATCTCTTCATCAGACAGGTCATTATCATGACCCAAAACATAATCTTGCAAGCGAGCTGGTAAGTGGCGCTCGCGCTGAGATCGCCGAACTGACGATTCTGGCTGTGAGGGAGACTGGACATTATCTGGAATCGGTTGCTCATCAACAATATTTTCAACAATAGGAATAACAACTGAACTTTCATCTTTAGCTAACCAATCCCAGGCACCATATTCATCAAAAGTGACATCACGACTTATAACAACCTTCTTAGTTTCAGGATTGTATAGTTTATAAGCCTTTGAAGCGTCACTATAACCAATGAATATGCACTTCTCACCTTTATCATCCAACTTCTTTCTCAATGGATCCGGCACGTGGGCATATGCCAAACATCCAAAAACCTTGAGATACTTGATAGAGGGTTTTCTCCCACTCCAAGCTTCTTCAGGCGTCTTATCACGGACACTCTTAGTTGGACACCTATTCAACACATAGACAGCACAAGCAACAGCTTCTGCCCAAAAAGGTTTAGGCAGATCCTTGGATTTCAACATGCACATTACCATATCCATGATAGACCTATTCTTCCTCTCAGCCACTCCATTTTGTTGTGGAGTGTATCTAGCTGTCATCTGATGTTGAATACCCTTCTTCTTCAGAAAATCATCACAGGCAATATATTCTGTACCTCTATCAGTTCTCAAGATTTTAATTTCATAACCACTCTGCTTTTCAACAAAAGCCTTAAATTGTTTGAAAACATCACATGCTTCAGACTTTTGCTTCAGAAAGTAAACCCATGTTTTTCTACTGAAATCATCAATGAAAGTAATAAAGTACTTACAACCTCCATGTGAGGGAACCTCCAACGAACATAGGCCTGAGTGAATAATCTCCAACTGTTTTGTAGCTCTCCTTGACTTGCCCACGGGAAAGGGATTTCTATGCTTCTTCCCAATCACACAAATCTCACAGATACGATCAGGGACATTCACAACAGGTAAATCAGAAACAAGTTCCTTTCTCGCAAGATAGTTTAATCCAGAGAAATGAAAATGCCCAAACCGCATATGCCATAACCAATTATCATCACAAACTTCAGAACTAAAGCAATCAAGGAGAGTATGCTTAATTTTCAAAGGAAATAGTCGATTTTGGGACATATTTACCTTTGCAATCAAAACTCCTTTAGCATCTTCAATGGTACAACACCCCTGAGCAATATGTATCTTATATCCTTTTTCTGACAGCTGACCCATACTCAACAAATTTTGGTCTAGTTCAGGAACATAGAACACATCGGATATAAAATTTTGAGTACCATCCTTCAGCTGAATAGAGATTTTACCTTTTCCCAAAATTGGCACCTTTGACTTATTGTCAAACGTTACTTCAGACCGGACTGATTCATCTAGTTCGGAAAACAATTCTTTCTTCCCACACATATGGTTACTACACCCAGTATCCAAGACCCATATGTTCTTATCAGCAGAAAAACTATCACTGGCCAAAAGTAAGGTTTCAGAATTCTCACCAGACTTTTCAGCAGTATTTTCAGCAATGTTTGCTTGATTTCCACGATTGTTGTCCTCATTATACCAACAATCTGCAATCTTGTGCCCATACTTGCCACAATTGTAGCAATGAAATGGAAATTTACCTTGTTTGGTATTACCTCCACCTCTTCCTTGGTTGGAGTTACCACGTCCTCCTCCTTGGTTGAAGTTACCACGACCTCTTCCACTAGAACCTCCTCTTCCTCTTCCACGACCTCTACCAGATCCTCCACCTCTTTGATTAGTGCCAGTCACATTAAGGGTGACTTGGCTCTTCAAAGCTTCTTCTGCTAGTGGTTCCGATTTTGACGCAATCCTGTCAATATGACTTTCTACCATACCTTTCAGCTCTGCAATTGATAAGAGCTCGGTTTTGTGTGACTCTGTTATTGAAGCCACCACATGGTCATACTTCATCGGCATAGTTCGAAGAACTTTTTCAACCACTGGGCCATCTTCAATCGTATCTCCATATAGCCTCATCTTATTCACCATATCAATAAGACGAGTGAAATACGCATCTACTGTTTCTGTAGAGGTCATCTCACAATTATCGTACAACCTTCTCAACGACTGCAACTTAGACTTCTGTGCCCGATCGACTCCTTTGTGTGACACCTTTAAGATGTCCCAAGCTTGTTTTGCTGTTTGAGCACGAGCTAATTGCCCAAAAATGGAATAATAAACACCTTGGTGAATCTGACCCAAGGCCAATTTATCTCGTCGTATAGCGGCTGCATCAGCTCCATCGGGTAGACCGGGATCAACAAAGCTCCAAAGATTTTGAGCTTGCAAATGTGTGGACATCATAATTTGCCAATAATTGTAATCGAGTTTCCCGTCCAATTTGGGACCCGTCCATACAATATTGAAATTTGCAGCCATATTTCACTACGGGAAATATCTCGGGGTTGAAAGGTTGACTGGCTCTGATACCAAATGTTAGATATATTAAATATAATATATTTAATATAATATATATTAAATATAATATAATATATCTATAATATATGTTAAATATAATATATCTATATATTATATTTATATATATTGAGAAGAGAGAGAGAGAGGAATAGATAATTTTATTGATGATTAGAAATGCTTGAATAACAAATCTATTTATACTAGATAAGATAATTCAAATGCTAAAATAAAGGAGTTAATGCTCCATGTAAAGCTAACATCATGGCCATGTACTGCACCTATAATTACTCCCATTATTTTTAACCAATTAACTAACTACTTGGTTTAATATTACTAATAATAATAATAATAATAATAATATTATTATTATTATTATTATAACAATATTGATCTAAAAATTGGCAATCTTCCTCTTTCGAACAGCTTCCTTTTATAGTAGATATTAAGCCTCATTTGTGATCATTAAACTTAGCCTTTTTCTTTGTTCGAATAAATCATAGCCACACACTTTTTTTTTTTTTTTTTTTTTTTTTTTTTTTGTTTCTTTGAAAGCTTCATATGTTGGCTGACTTCATTCTCCAATGCACACTGTCCACTCATTTAGACATCACATGGTCCAAAAAAAAATTAATTCTAACAACTCTAATTAATTTCTTAATTCAAAACTAATAATACCCTACTAAATAAAATACCCAATAAGGTTTAACGTGTAAATAATTTTACACTTCTAATATAATACTGGAACAGAATCCACAATACAATGTGAACCCTGGTCCATGGTATAACAGTTGCACCTCTAGGGTCTGTGTGCTTCTGGTGTCTCCTATCAAAAATGAATATATCAAGCCGGTAAAGGAGAACACTGGTTCAATAAGATTCCCAATGTTAGGTTCATAATGTCAGATTTTTTTGGTTCAATTTGTAATAATGTTTGTATCAAATCTTATTGTTAATCAATTCAACAACATACATGTGTGATAAAGTGTCTTAAATACTCATTTATTTTGATTATATTAATTGTGCTTAGGTGACTTGACAAGGAATTAATCTGTTATATATGAGGGAAACAAGACACATTTGAATCAAGTTTTGATATCACCCGAGTATGAAGATATGACTGGAAGACCTACTTTGAAGTTTTGAATGTGACCAGGCCACAATTAGTCTTTCTTCTATAAAGAGACATCAAATTTCTAGGCAAAAGTTTTACTGAATCTTAAATCCATAAATTATGTAGCTAATTAATTGAGTGCAGCATATTAAAGAGGGTTCTGCAATAAGAGAACTCTACAAGAATGAACTCACAATTAGTGGAATACCAAGTATTATGCAGGAACCCAGAAAAAAAAAAATTCGAAGAATAGCTAGCCAAAAGTAAAAGAAAAAGTTCAAAATTGAATTGAATCAACATCATATCCGTGCATGAAACAATGAAACTTGTTTCATGATAATACATTAGTGATAATATTGTAGTTTTTAAATATTTATATTTTTATCATATCAAGCCGTTAAAAGAGAAAGAAAATATATATGTTTATTCCCAAAGAGGCATTTGGAGCGGTGCAGTTCCCACAAGTCAATGTAATATATTTTAACTGCATGTCTATCTCCTCCTCCATCTCATTGTTCTCCGCCACGCCCACGCCTTCTAGCTTCTGCGGCCAGCTTTGATCCCGGCTCCTCCTTCGCTAAGGGCATAGAGGTTTCCAGGCTCCTCCTTTGATAAGGGCAACCTAAATTTGAAATTACTAATTTATTATCCCTGTACTTTACCTAACGATTGAGCAATAACACAAAATTCTAGGACTAATTTAGGACACCAAAGTCGTTTATAGTCGAGCAATAAATTATCCTTGTACTTAACACCCTTTTACCAAATTACCTAACGAAGGACAATATTGAGCGATAACACAAAATTAAGAAAAACCACTATAATCGAGACCATTGCAGTGTTGCCCGTTTTCACAAGCCAATGTTATATATTTTAACTGCATACTAACCATGCAATATAATCTCACTCTTTGCCATTTCGTAACATTGCAATAATCAACCATAATATATATCTTATATCAAATTGCCCTTCTTTTCTTAGCCTTTTCCATAATCTCTTATATGGCTAGGCAAAAGTTTCATTTACTGAAATTATGTAGTTAATTGAGTGCAGCATATTAAAGAGTGTTCTACAAGTATGATTGAACTCACAATGATGAGTCGGGATACCAAGTATTATGCACGAACCCAGACAAAAAAAATTCGAAGAATAGCTAGCCAAATGTAAAAGAAAAAGTTCAAAATTGAATTGATTCAGCATCCGTGCATGAAACAATATTTGTTTCATGATAATACATTAGTGATAATATTGTAGTTTCTAAATATTTATATATATATTTTTTTAATGCACTGTCTGCATTTTACAAGATCATACTAATCATAAAAAAAAATTGTGTTTAATATGGTTTTTCGCCCATATAGTTGCCCGGAGGGTTATAGTAGCAGATGACAAACATCCAATCAGTTTTGCACGTAACCCTAGCACAGCCAATACTCGTGCTGCCGCCCCAAACCACCTGCGTATAAGAGCGGCAATTGTTGCCGCTGGTGCAAGAATTCGATGCGTGGTCATAGTCCTTCTTCTCACCCATCCACAACTTCATGGAATCCGCCGGAGACAATTCGGCAGAGGCCACCGCAATGTTTTCCCCATACAGCCCGTTAGAGTTCTGCGGCACACAGTCAGCAGACCTCTTGGCGGCATAGGATTCGGCGATGTCTGCTAAGGTGGAATTCCAGTTAACAGGTGGAGATCCAACAGTTTGTCGGGCCGCGTTATGTGCAGCAACAAACCCTTTAACGCAATCAGAGTCACAGGCGGATTGTACGAAAGATGTTTGGGCAATGGCAGCTAAGGCAATTATGGAGATGGTGAGCTGCAGAAAAGAAAACTCCATTTCCTTTTTATTGTGATTTGCTGCAATAAAAAGGAAAAGTAAGAGGAAATGGAAAAATGTGTCTCTATCTGCAGAGATGCAATGGCCATTGGCATTGTGTTATAGGGTATTTATAGGATTGTTTGTATCCTAAAAGAATGGATTGCTTTTAATAATTTGTATGGCTTAGAAATACAAGAATAATGGTCACCTCACATATATTTATAGGTAGAGTATGTATAGGAAGAAAGTTAGGTAGGTTGAAAAAAATTTGATGTTACACTTTATCTGCTTTGCAAGTTTTTTGTTGTCATTTGGTCTCTCAGTGACATATATTGGGTGGGATAGAGGCAGAAGGGATTATACAATTTATGCAGAAAATAAGCTAGGTTTCCCCAGTCCCAATTCATTAAGATTCAAGATTAGCATAAACAGCACTCTGTCGGGAAATTTGGATACAAACATATTTCTTTTACTTTAATTTCTGATAAAGGCAGAAAGTCCAGGAAATATTCTGTTATATTTCTTATAAAGGCATACAGAAATTTTTATGCATGAAGTATGCATAATGAAATTCATAAAAATTTATGAATGTATTTAACACACAGTTTCTCATATTGAGAATGTGTTAAAATATTGAAAGCCAAAAAGTTTACTGGTTTATCTAGTATGGAAATTGACAATGAAAAGAAAGTTTTAATTTAAATCATGGACTATGATTTAAGAAGGTATGAATCTTCAGTTTAGAAGAAACATGAAAAGTTAAAAGATTAAAATCATATATGATTATTCCCCAAAGTGAATGGATATTTCTGAATGGAGGAGGTATATCAATATATGATTGTTCTACTGACAAATTATTGTGTGAACGATGGTCCACATAATTGTATGGATCATGAATATCAAATACATTTTTAATATATTAAAAATACATTATTTTTATATTGAAAGTACTTTACATACATATATAATGTACCCTTAGTATATTTAAAATATACTTTTTATTGCATGCAATCCCAAAGTTCATAAGTTTGAAATTAATATATGGCATAGCTAGGCGGCCTAATATTTAAGATTGTTGATGTGCGTATTGAGGACTACGGAGACAAAGATGCGTTATTCGTGGATTCATAGGATACTATCCAACAACACTCTCCAACTTAATTGACGTGAAGTAGGCTTAGTAACATTAAGATTATATTCTCGAATTATTAGTTCTCATCTTTTATGATTACACACTTAATTCGATAGTATTTGGAAGAAAAAATCAATGTTCGAACTAAGATTGTGATTTTGGTCTTAAAAGGTCAATTGTATGTTGCTACATCTAGAGTTAGAAATCTCAAAGGTCTAAAAATTTTGATATGTGGTGACTCTAAAATTGTAATTCAATTACTATTGTAGTTTACTAAGTTCTTAAAAATCTATAATATTAAATACTATGTACTAAATTATTAATATAGTTTAAGATTTGTAGTAATCACCCACCTTAAATATTATTTTAATTGGAAATATATTTATGTTCATAATTTTATCATAGAAATTCACACATAATAATTATTAAATAACAAAAATTTTATATATGAATAAACCTCATATAGGGTATATTTTTATAACATATTTTCCGTGCATCGCACGAGACAAATACTAGTAATAATAATAATATTATTAATTAATAATAATAATAATATTAATAATATTAATAATCCAAACAAAACTATATACAAAATAAAATGAAAATTAATAATAAAAAAATAAAAAAAAAAAAAAGGAAGAAGAAGAGGACAAAGGGGAGCCAAGGGCTCCCTTTGTAAATAATTTGGGATCATAATTACTTGCCCATCAATGTGGGCAAGTATTGAGAAGTACAAAGTTTTTTTTTTTTTTTTTTTTTTTTTTTTTTTTTTTTTGAGAAGTAAAGGAAAATTAAAAATGGAAATGAAAATTTCGATAATAATATTTTACATCATCAAATAGTAAATATATATTTTAAAAAATAGTATGCTAAATTAAAAATGAAACGAAAATATATCAATAATAATATTCTTCATCATCAAATTAAAATGGAACGAAAATTAGGTAAAAATATCACTGCATCTATATTCTAATTGACTAATTGACTTGAAAAGAAAAAAAAAAGAATAACTGACTGAAAATGAATTTAATAATACTAATTAACTCAAAATATAAAAGGAAATGAATATTAATAATTGAATGCAAATAAAAAATGATCCACAATTGACTAAAATACAAAATAAATGGTCAGATCATTGCATGTTAATTAAAAATTGGAGGAAAATATTTCTATAATAATATTCTACATTATCAATAGTAAATGCATATTTTAAACAACAGTAAAGGTAAATTAAAAATTGAATTGAAATATTTCAATAATAATATATACATCATCAATTAAAACTGGAACGAAAATTAGGTAAAAATATCACTGCATTTGATATTATAATAATTGACTAATTGACTGAAAATAAAAATAAATAATTGACTGAAAATGAATCTGATATTACTAATTGACTGAAAATATAAAAGGATAACTAATTGAGTGATATTCTACCATTATATATTTTCACCCAAGTAAACTGTCCTGATGGATTCAAGGTGGTAGCTCTAGACGAAGATAAACAAGATTGTGTTGGCACTACCAATGTCATCTACAAAGAGGTTTTAATAATATGTAAATATAATCGGTGAGATTAAGTTTTTTTTTTAATTAAATGAAAAAATTGCTATATATGTAGACAAAATACATATCTTCCATACAAATGAATAAGGATAGCAATTCATTTCTATAACGGAGTTGTTAGAGAACGGGCGCATTTGTCTAATTTATGCAAATACTAACCAATGATAAATAAAATCTTCAAAGTTATAGCACCGCATGCGTACATCTAGACATTAGCTATTAATTTGAGCAATTATTTGTACAAAATCAAGCTTTAATAACATCAAAATATATAAACGATCCAAACCGTATGCACTATATAATATTTGATGTTCTAATTTAAATAATTATATATCGATTCATATATTCTTAATATATTACAACAAATTCATTCCGTGCATCGCACGGGTGCAAATACTAGTATATATATATGGCACCTCTGGTAGACCTTAGCTTTAATGAATACATCTTTTGGAACCTGTTTTCTTTCAAACCTTAAGCTCTACCGACCACTTTCTTTATCAAATTAAAGTTTTTTAGTTGGGTTTGTCGAAAATTCACATCTTCTAACAGATAGTAAACTTTACTGGTTCATCTTACTATTATAAGATCTATTGACTTAACTTTCTTCATTTCAATTGTTGAAAGGCCCATTGATTTGTGAAGCTCTACCGCGCGTTTTAAGTTCTTCGGGAACTAGGCTTTTTTGAGTAGATCATAAGATCATCTTCTAATTTGAAGGTAGATTACTATGGTGAGTTGTGCTATTGATGGTTCTAAATGGGGTTTTCACTCAGGGAAATAGGAATGATGTTTAATTTTTTTTATGCATGTTATTAAATTCAAGTAATATTGTAATTCGCTTAGATTTAGAAAGTTAACCTCTAATTTAAAACCAACTCATGCTGGCAAATTTAGAGCAACCAATAACATTAACAATTAAAATGTGAACTAAAAGTATATAATTGTCTATGCGACGACGGATATGGTTATAAAAACTATAAACTATGGTAACGAACATTCATTGTCAACTGTAATTTAACTCATTTGACTAGAATAGTAAACTTTCTCTTGTATGTATATGCATGTGTTATACTTTAATACAATATATCACTGCTGGAAATCTGCATTTTTCCGACCACCAAAAAGTGGTCGGAAAAGGGGCATTTCCGGTCGAAAATGCAGTTTCTGACCAACTTAGCGACCACTTTATGGATTCGGAAAAAAAGCCCTAGCTATTACCGACAACTAGTCAAGGTGGTCGGAAATACCGGCTTTTTTTTGAAGTCGTCGGAACTAATAGTTGTCGGATAAGGAGAGCATATTTCCTACCATTGGTGGTCGGTAATTGGTCAGAATTATCATCCATCGGTGGTCGGTAAGATTTACCAAGAAAAAATTAAAATTTGTATTACCGACCACTACGGTGGTCGGTAAGATTTACTAACCAAAAAAAATAAAATTTAAAATTCTACAAATATCAAATGAATTTGACCTGTTACAATTGAAATTAAAATTTCAATAAATTCTACAATACAATTAACAATTTAGGGAAATAAACATTAGTCAATATTAAATTCTAGACTTATATGAAATAAACCTGTTCACACAGTGTAGCAATGATAGACACGTAGCTGAAGATAAAATCTAGCCTTAATAATTAACTCATTATGATATAATATAGCAAGTAGGAATTTAAACATACGTGTTAGGATATCTCCTGAAGATGTCTTTGATAACTATAATAGCTTCTTGGACAACATAATTTACTTTAATCTTGATCAATTCAAGCAAGACGCTGATACAACGCTCGGCAGCCTTCTCTAACTTGATGGCACATCGTCCAATAGCACGAACAGCCCTCCTGACAAAATCAACGTCTACTTCAGTAGCATATTCCTTGAACTCCAAGAGAACCTGCAAAAGTGCTTTCTTTGAGACATAGTGCCATAGGACTAAAAAAACTTACAACTTAGAATTCAAGATTCCCTTCCCCTTGTATCCTACAACTTACTTGTGGTTCTACAGATGCAGATGCATTTAAGTGTACTGAAAAATTAAACTACTTTAACTTAAACATTGGCACTTAAGAAGCACAAATTTCCCAGGAGCAAGGCCATAATAATCTTTAGTCATTCAGTCTAAAATCAGTGTATGCTTGGAGCTCACTCGACATCTTGAGAGTGGTGCCATGGATTTTGTCTGCTGCACCAGCGTAGTAACGAAAATACCCTGCTGTTGAAGGCACATCTGCATACTAAGATGTGCACTAAAGTGCGCAAATGATGCTTCCATTTTCTGGACGGTCTCACAAATACTATGATATTGCTCTTCCATATCCTTGTGCTGCTATTGCATTACTTCCCTTTCCTCACGCCACCAGTGGCTTCCAACCACACTGCTATTTCAGCCATTTCTAATTGTTTTTGCTTCAAGTGAGACACAGTTTCCTGAAAAAAAAAAAAAAGCATAATGAGACCACAAAGATTGGTGTATAACCATTATAAACTGTAAAGTGGAAAAAATTCTACTTCTACTTTTGTAGGTGTTGCAGATCAGAATATTCAAGCAAACAACATACAGTTCATTCATTCTTAATTTACACCTATTAAACCAACAACATAAATACCTTAGCATCTGCTAATGAATGAAAAATCAAAATACCCCAACATCTGTCTATACTTGGGGATGACAAAACTTCAGAACCTTACCATGTTTTCTCATGTTTCAAAAGATTAATAGTTTAGTCAAAGAAAGGAACCCCAAAAGTAATTTACAAAGTATAAGGATAAATTCAGATATTTTTTAAAAAATCGTTTAGAAGCAAATTGTATGTACCTCTACTTTGTCCCATGCTCCTTTTCTGACATCAGTTTTCAAATTTGAAACAATAGCAGAGCTAACTAACTGTCGATGCATGCCCATTTGAGTAATCTACAAATTCAAAAGTTGTGAACACCTATTTTGTTAAACTAATTAGAGAACGAAGAGATTGAATAAAAGAATAACCAACCTTTCATGAATTGTCTTGCTTCTTCTTAAAATGCTGGAAAAAAACATACCTGATTCTTGCTCATAGCCAAACAGATTAAAATGACTAGACGATGCTACTCGTCGCTCGTCGACCAAATGCTGCTACTCGGCACTCGCAACCAGAGCTCGTTGACCAGATGTCAAATTAGAAAAGCTTGCCTTTCATTGGTACTTCAACAAGCATTCTAGAATTCCATGGTGGCCCGAGAAAGAAAGCCTTACAAGACACTAGAAATCAAAGCAAACCACTATAAAAAAAATCAACAATATAAAAAGGAATACAACAATAAAACACTACACAGGCAACAACCATCTAACAAGATAATGACAAGTGAATCTCTTCTCCTCTTCACCATCATTATAATGAAAACATCATTTAAGACTTGTTTAGTCTAAAATGAATAACATTTAATTCTCAACTATCTGTATGGACTATGGAGGGCAAGCTGATAAAGCAAGAAGCTTGATTAAGGATTAAGTGATTAACTAGGTTACACTTTAAGCTTTTATTAAAGCAATTGTGAACCACAATCAACATCAAATAAATGCAAAACAATTATGAGCCCTAACAAACTTGTAATCATCTTATTTGATCTAGAACGAAACCTCCAAACCTTAATATGCAAGTTCCAATACATTACATATCTAAGCATTTAAGTGCACAACCAAAAGTCGAAGACTTGCCTTAAATGCACCAAGTGATTTGTGCGCAATTTCGACTTCACAACCAGGTCGTCTACGTAGCATTCGACCATTTTATGGAGCATATCATCAAATATTGTCTGCATATCCCGTTGGTATGTAGCACCTGCGTTTTTCAAACCAAAGGGCATTACTTTATAGTAGTAGATGCCTTTTGGTGTTCGGAATGCAGTTAAGTCTTCATCTTCCGGCGCCATGCGGATTTGATTGTAACCGGAGGAGCCATCCATGAATGACAGGATCTCATGCCCAGTCACGGCATCTATCATTAACTCCGTGATAGGAAGCGGGAAGTCATCTTTCGGGCATGCCACATTGAGGTCCCGAAAATCTACGTAGACGCGGATCTGACCGTTCTTCTTACGCACGGGCACAATACTGGATATCCAGGTTGGATATTTAACTTCACGAATGAAGCCAGCCTCAATAAGCTTATTAACTTCTGTTTTAATCGAGGGAATGAGCTCGGGGCGGAAGCGTCGTTGAGCTTGCTTGACTGGGCGACACCCTTTCTTTACTGCTAAGCGGTGCACAGCTACCTTTGGGTCTAACCCTGGCATCTCCTTATATGTCCATGCAAAGACATCAATATATTCTTTCAGCAATGTGACATAGATTTCTTCATCTTCATCGGATAGGAGTGCGCTAATGAAGATAGGACGAGGATTTTAAGGCGTTCCCAGATCAACTTCTTTTAATTCGTCCACCACGGCTCGTACCCCTTCTTCTAACTCATGGGGTGCCTCTGCCGCATCTTCTCCCTCAATCGGGGTTTCATCACATAACGTGATATGGAACGACGATGCCACCTCTTCCTGAGTAGTTGGTGGTACGTCATCACTTGAGCCTACGCTTTCCTCATTTTCTTCTTTATGTACGCGAGTGTGTACAATGATCTTCGGTTGGACTTTCAACACTTCACCGCATGAAACATGAATATATGTTTCTCGTCTCATCCGAGAAGGAATCATGCTTCTAAGCCTTTTGGGAGGTTCCACTTCAGCAGGAACATTGGCACTGTCTTTAATAACTTGGACAGCTCCAGGTCGATCATGCATTGACTTTCTCTTTAGGGCTTTAGGACTTGACCCCAGTCTATCAAAGACTGAGCGTCGAGAGTCCGCCTTACCGATTCGGTCGAAGACTGACTTCTTTTTGTCTTGCCTATTATCATTGGTAGGAGTGAGCTTTGGGTCATACTCGCTTCCCTCCGCGGAGATACAATTACTTGCAGCTCTGTTTATAAGAATTCGCACTGGTTTAGGGGGAACATAGCCCAACCCTTTGCGCGTTTGAGGTTCTTGGTGACTTGCCTTGCCTTTACCACCGGCTTCTGGGATAAGCTTTCCCAACTTCTGTGGCTCGTTGGGGTTATAGCCAGCCTTGGCTAGAAGCTTATAAGCGTTAAGGTCGAAACCCTCGGTACGTTTGGCGGGGAATATTTGGCCCACTTTATCACCACATTTCTCTTCGGATGATTTTGCTGCATTTGTTTTGAGTGTATCAATCCTTGCAAGCGGGAAGATGAGTTTTGTGTTGTGTTGATCTCCCTCTACAACTTGTTTTCCCTTTGACTTTGATTGGGAAGGTGGATCGTCATTGCTTTCCTCAATATCTTCAACAATAACTTTCCTTTTAATGTAGAACTTTGCATCCGTAAAGTAAGACTCAGCCTCTGTGAAAGGGCTTTCATCGGCGACAACCTTTTCAACTACGCCGTTCTTTTCAAACATGAGGCATTGATGCCAAGACAAGGGTACCACCCCATTTTCATGTATCCACGGCCTTCCAAGTAACAAGTTATAAGATGTCCTCGCATCTATGACATGGTAGAGGACACCTGAACTTAGGCTCCCAATTCTTAAGTCAAGTCTGATGATGCCGATTTCTCTTTGCCCTCCCTGATTGAAGCCTTGTATCATTAGACGACTTTGGGCAAGCTCATCTGTAGATATACCAAGGTCCTTCACAGCTCGGAGGGATAGGATGTTGACAGCTGAGCCTTGATGTTGGTCCCGATAGGGTGGTAAAAAGTCTAGAGGGGGGGGGGGGGGGGGTGAATATACTTTTTAAACATTTTCACAATTAATAACACTTTGGTAATTTCAACTCTAAGTAACAAGATATGAAACTTAGATGCGCAGCGGAATAATTAAAACAACCAAGTGTTACGTAAGATCAAAGAGATATATCACATGCAATATTACGGATATGCTTGCAAAGGCTCAAATAATAAGTATGCTAATTTATTCCCACATGCAAATGTGAAATCTACTAGACCGAGATGAATAAATTCGAACAGTATATAAAATGGGTCAGTCAAATATTCATCATGCAAGACAACAAAATATTTAAAGAGATGGTGCACTCAATATGTGTGTGATATCACGTGTGAATCAATGAGTGAATCCAAAAGGAATTGTGTCTGCATGCACTTGTAAAGTCACATAACCCAAACAATAATGAATAAGACGAATAGTAAATGGGTTAGTATGCATGCAATAATAAATAAAGGCAGTATGTAAATGAGAGAGGCAATTTATAGTGGTTCAGAGGTGGTGTAATCCTCCTAGTCCACTCTTCTCCTTTCACTCCAAGGAGGAAATTCACTATCTCGTTCACCCAGATACAAATAGTGAATCAAGTGCACACAGGCACTTCCCGAGTGTTTTGCACACAGCTGCACTCAATCCCGAGTATTTCGCACAAAGCTATACTCCCGAGTATCTCGCACAAAGCTATACTCCTACACCAACTAAGTGTCTTGCACCCAGCTACACTTAGCACCACCGAGCGTCTTGCACACAGCTACACTCAGCAACCACGAGTGTCTCGCACAAAGCTACACTCACGAGTGTCTCGCACAAAGCTACACTCAACAGGGTAGTGTCTTGCACAAAGCTACACTCAACCCTCTTTCTACACACAGTAGAGGTAAGTTTAAGAGAAAACAAATTTCTCTTCTAATGACTTGAAGAATCTCTCGTGTAAGCTCAAACTAGATATTTTGAATTTTTCTCTTTGTGTATTGCGTTGCCTTCTCTGCCCTGCTTCATGTCTTCAAGTCTTCTTGGTATATATAGCTGAAGAAGCTATATTACAGTTGTAGCTTCAATTAATCTTGATCGTTCATCTTGATCAGCTACACTTATTGCCAACTTGCATTGCGGTGATTTAATGCAAGAGATGGGCTTCCACAGTGAGTTTGAAAATCCTCACCTGACAAATCTTCAAAAGTCATACATATCGGCTCATCAGCTGAATCTTCTCCGAAAAATAATTACCTTATCTTGACGGATTCAAAATGATGAAATCTTCCAAAAGATTTTCTGTTGATTCTTGCTTGAGTAAAAATTATATCTTCGTCCATTTCTTCTTCTGAAATGATTTGAGATGCATAGCAAGATATTTAAATGAGAAAGAAGTTGTGTAGAAGAATTCACGTGCATCTTTCTTATCATGTCCACAAGCTTCCAAACTTGTAGTCAATTTAGTATGACATGTGTCCACATTGTAGCATGCACCCAACAAGTGTCATACTTATAAAATATGCTTCTAATGGGATTTGATCACAAGCCCAATTAGATTTGTCTTCCAAGCTTATACCACCACGCCATATTAACTTATTAGTTAATATTTCTAGATTTAATCTTTATTCCCAGAATGGCTTTAGTAGAATTTCACATTAATTCGTAGAATAATCCGAGTCTGCCCCTTGGTCGTCCCCATCAGCTCCTTAGTCGTCCCCTTCTTTATCTCTTACTTAAAAATATAGATATTGAGTGTTGAACCCATGACCTCAAACTTTAGTCACCTTGTTCTTTATCCACTTCACCACTTCAACCTTTGGTGTTTTCTAAGGTAAATAAATCTCAAATAGTAACATTCTGGATAAGTATATTTTGCTAAGAATTCGTAGACTATTATGGCTTGACTTGGGACTTAGGCTAATAGACAACTAGACTCAAAATAAAATAGGGGGTTCTAAAAAATACAAATTTGGCTCATCAAAACTATTACATATTATTCCTAACACTTGATCAACCATAATTCTTTTGAGTTTTTGCCCACGGGTGTATTATTGAGCCAAAGGAACTGGTGCACGTGGCTGTTTGACATGGCCCTTCGTCATTGATTTGCGGGCATGAGTATTTTTTGAGGTTTTCTCAAGCCAAATTTTCACTATGTGCTTTTGATGCTTCACAGGCTCAACTTTCTTCATTCTATGAGTGACAATCACCCATTTTCCTTCGGATGTGTTATCGTTCTGCCGTGGTTCTGAACTTTGACCGACAGCGTGCTTAACAATGAAGGGGAGTGGACGCTTCCGTTGTTTCCCATCTTCCTTTTCAGTACACAGCGGAGCGAACCGTCCGAGTGTAATTGAGATTTGATTCGAGCTCGCGTTAGCATCAGCGAGCTCAATTTTTCCATCCCTGGCCAGTGCCATTACTTTGTCTTTGAAGATAAAGAATTTCTCAATCGGATGACCAAGAAGACGGTGGTACTTGCAGTAATATGGGTCATCCACCCTTGTAGC